CTGTATATAATACAAATACCAACCTTGTGAAATCCAGCGTTCTATTCCTGGGCGCTTTCTTAGCACGCTTCTTAGGTGGTAGTTTAGTAGCCAGCGGCTCTGCTTCTATTCCCTGCGTAGCACACGAGAACAGTTAGCTCATTTTGGCATACGAAATGCACAATAGGGTCATAATATATCAACGAAATGAACCCCTTCTAAATTGTTTAAAATAATATCCTAAATGTGTGCTAATTATTTGGAGCTTACGCTGATGTATCAATCGCAACCCAAAAGTTTGATTGTTACGTACCTGTGACTGCTTCCTGTGGTCTTCCAATGCGGCCAATTTATCCCTTTTCTCATCACTTTTGCTGCAAAATCGAATCCGAAGACAGGATTGAAATTCAGCTTCACGCACAAATTTAGGCATTATTTTGAAATCATTTTCTGAGTTTCGAAGATATAGTTTAATCACCCCTTGAAGGGCTTACTTTCTTACCTTACTTCAGAATATTTACATACGGCATACATCTGTAGTAGTATTCATGACACACTACACACACAAAAAAATACTTACTCTCAGACACGCAGACACCGCTTCATAGGCAGCATAAAATACACATCCCTTGATAGGGCAATATCATCAGCCGCATACGCATATTTATTGATGCAGACACCATCACCACACTACATACAACCCACATCAAACGCGCACATATTAATGCACAAACCATATCCCAGATACACACACGCTATCCAAATCACAAATATAATTGTCTCAGGGCACACATACAACACAACGTATACACGCATATTGACGAGCATACATAGCCCTGCACTAGTTATGGTTGCGACTGTCCTTCGTAGACCATATGAACATATTACAAAACAAACACAAATCATCGTATTTATGCTGAAAATGCCAATTTGCCAGGATCATAAAAAAATAACGATAATGAAAAATACTTTTGATGTATCAGATAATATATACACACGTCGGCATGTACAGTAAGCCATATGGCCGAAGCAGTGTATCCCGTGAGCGCCATTATATTAGTATGTTTTCTTTTGCTACTACCACACATCGCCTAACAATAGGATTGTGTGCACCGCGCGCTAGAATACTGTGATAGTCTGGATCAGACGATGCAAATATTCAGTGGCACCATACTAGGCCTAGTGGGACCGTTCAAAATTGGTTTCGAATTTCTAAACCATGAGAATGTACATCCAGATACGGAGAATTCACACACTGTATAAAGGGGGCGTAAGAACCACAGCGCTATCTATTATTGTAATATAATCTGAACAGCTATACACTAGATTGCAATACAAAAACTATATCAAGCAAGCAATACATACCTGGGACCATGAGTACCGTAAGGGACTCCCACCTCATCACCAGTGGATATAGAACCGCAAGTGTTGCTCCTGTCCCGGATGTGTTTAAACATCTTGTTTCGCGACGGAAACATAACCCCACATAGCTCGCAGGGCACACCTTCAGTGTCTTGCATCTGGGATAGATATAGAGAAAAGAAATCGAACACGACATGAACCTCGAGCACTAAAAGACAGTTCTACTAGTAGTAGATATTGGTAGAGTATGGGATGATACTTTATACTCAAAACAGCTTTCAAGAAGTCGAACGGACTAGAGAGTTATGATGGCTTGCCTCTCTCCACAGTGCGTGGATAAAACCGACTGGGTAATGTTCATATTGATTCTGCTATGGTCTACATAGATGATCTCATACTGAATTTAGTAGCGCTTCAACAAACGGCAATTCTAGGGCTGATAAGAACTTACGATGTTAGTCAAAGATAGCAGACTCTGCTAGATATTATGTCCTATATACTGAGTTTCTTATCGTTCACAAGTATACTCATTGCACTATGAAAGTATACTTCGTCATATATAAATAGAAGAACATTTCAGAGGGCTGCGGCCTTTCTATGCACACATGAAATTTTTTTGTTTTTTATGTTTTTTTTAAAGGTGATTGGACAGGATACTATTTGGGTTCTAAGGTTTACGTCAGTGAACAACAACCAGGTGTTGTGTTCACAGCACGGCTGAATGCTTCCATCAACATGACAGACCTTAATAAAGTGGTAACCGCAGTCGCAATAGGGTGAATATCTGGCAATAATTCTTAGATCATAGTGAGAGACTGAACATATATACCAGGAAGATGGAATAGTGTAGTATATTATTTTTGAGCAATGTACTACACTTACCTAACACAAGACAATAGGCTCGTTTATTAGTTTAGTAGTCTAAAATTGCGATCTCTATCCAACATGTGTGCGTTTTTTATGAAACCCTGATCTGAGAAACTATATGGAACAGGGCAGGCTCCTCATGCAGACACCGCAAAATATCGAATCAACGAACTGAAATGTTGTTTGCTGTTCATTATTTCATATCTTCAGTGTGCGTTTTTTATGAAACCCTG